GAAGGAAAAGTAAATCAAGGTACAAATGCCACTTTTATTGCAATAATCCCAAGAAGAAAGAAGCTTTACACCCAAAGGATTACAGACCAATTAGTTTGGTGGGACGCTTTTACAAAATGTTAGCAAAGGAGGGGCATGAGCTGGTACCTCTCCACAATAGCAACAATGTACTACCTCAGACTAGTAACAAAAATTTACAAAGCTGCCCAAAATAACTGTTCCCTTTATACCCCTTGTTTAGCTAACCCATCCGCTATGGTGTAAGCTGTTCTACCCACCCACTGAAAAATAGCATTCATGTTCCTTGAGAACCATTTAGCTTTCCTCATAATACCCCTGTAGCACCAGATCACTGAATCTGGATATTTTAGCCAACCCACAACAACTTTGGAGTCTCCTTCAATAATCAAATTCTGAACTCCTAACTGATCCGCAACCTGAATGCCTTGTACTGCCGCTAGGAGCTCAGCTCTGATAGAGTCTCCTATACCCACAGAGCCTGAGAACAAAACTAAAATGTTACTATCTTTATCTCTCAGCACCCCACCAATCCCTGAAGGCCCTGGATTTCCTTGGCTGCTACCATCAAAACTCAGCTTTGTCCAGTCTTCTGAAGGGAGTACCCACACATCTAGTACCCTGTTCTTTCTGTTACTGCTACTAGCCACAGCCCTCCAGTTCCTCGCATTTCTTTCTTCCCAAATTGTCCACAGAGCAGCAGCTCTAATGGTTCTCCACATTGTTTAAACAGTTTTTGTGGGCCACACAAAGAAGGAAGGATCAAAGATCTGATATATGGCTGTAGTCATAATCCATCTGCAACCAAACAAAGCAAAGATCCAAACCCAAATAGCATCAGAAAAGGGGCAAGTTAAAAGTAAGTGAGAGCAATCCTCACCATTAGCCCTGCAAAGTACACACCAATTAGGAGACAAACACATAGAAGGCCTTCTCTTCTGCAGTAGATCTGAAGTGTTGAATTTCCTATAGAAAACCTCCCAGCAGAACATAGTAATTTTAGGAGGTACAGGTTTAGACCAAATTTCCTTAGCTGGGAACCCCACTTGTCCCGAGGGAGAGCAAAGGAACTTGAAAAAGGAAGCAAATGTGAAGTAACCTTTTGGGTTTGGACACCAAAGTCTCACATAAGATAGTTCATGATCCCTCAAACCCCTACGAAACCCAAAGTCCCGACTCAAAGAAGATAGAGTATTAGATGATGGGAGAAAATGAGAAATTGTTTTACCCTTGTAGCAAGAAATGGAATAGCGAGAAGGGAAACTGTCCTTAAGGGCAGAATTGCCCACCCAGATGTCTTCCCAAAACAAAACAGAAGTACCAGAATCGACATCATACCTGATACAGTTGAGGAAAGGAGGAAGAATACTCTGAATTGCTTTCCAAGGAGTTGCCACAGTGGCTTGACGCGATACACCAGCATCCCATCCATTGCCCAAACTGCCATGTATGCTAGCTATCACCTCATGCCAAAGTCCCTCCTGTTCTAGGGGCCATCTCCACAATCATTTTCCTAGGAGTGCTTTATTCTTCAAAACTAAATTCCCCAGTCCCAATCCACCTTCCTCTTTCCTCCTACACACTATTCCCCAATTTATTATGTGGTCCTTTTTTTCCTCCCCTGGCTCCCATAGAAAATTTCTCTAGTTTCTTGGCTTCCCTGACCGGAATCCTAAACACAGAGGAATAATAAATCGTTAGATTTGCTAAGGAAGCTCTCAATAAGGTAACTCTACCCCCTGAAGAAATATAGTTCCTTTTCCACGAGGCTAACCTTTTCCCAAACTTTTCTAAAACCGGGGCCCAAAATGTGCTCTCTTTAGGGTTGGCTCCAAGAGGAAGACCTAAATACTGTAAAGGCCAATAGGAAATACGACAACCTAAAGACTCAGCCACTGACTCGAGGGTCCTCTCATCCAGATTCACTCCCACCACACAATTCTTTTCCAAATTTATTTTCAGATTTGATACTCTCTCAAAGCACTCTATCAAAGACTTGAGATTACTTATTGTTCCCCTATCACCCCCTTCACAAAAGATTATTAGGTCAGCAAACTGTAAATGAGTCACCCTAATCCCATTCCTTCCTATCCTCCAGCCTCTCACTACACATTCCCTGTCTGCCTTCAAGATCAAGCTACTAAAGACATCTGCAACTAGGGTAAAAAGAAAAGGGGAAAGGGGGTCACCTTGCCTTAAACCTCTAAGAGCTGGGAAAAATCCTTGACTACCCCATTAACCAAGACCGAAAAATGGCAAGAACTTATGCATCTCTTTATCCAGTTACACCATCTGACTCCAAACCCACAACACCCTAGGATTTCTAGTAAGAAGCTCCAATCCACTAGATCATAAGCCTTTTCTAAGTCCAGCTTACAAACAAACCCATGCTTTCCAGACTTTCTCATATCCTCCACACATTCATTCGCTATTGAATCTGATCTGTTATTTCTCCCTTGCACGAAAGCTCCCTGTGCTTGACTAATGATGGAAGGTAGCACTACTTTAATCCTCAAGGATAACACTTTAGCCAGGATTTTGTAAATGCTAGTCACCAAACTAATCGGCCTAAAATCTTTAGGGTTTTTTGCTTCTTTTCTCTTAGGGATTAGAGCTATTAAAGTGGCATTAACTCCAGGGCTTACTTTGCTATTAACTTCAAATTCCTAAAACACAGCACAAAGGTCTTCTCTTACCACATTCTAACAATCTTGATAGAAAGCCATGGTGAAGCCATCTGGTTCAAGGGCTTTGGATCTATCCGTTGAAATCACTACATGCCTAATGTTGTTAAAATCTTACGATTCACGATTTGAATCATGAACCCCATGGGTCTTGATTTGAATCTTATGTCTGAATCATTTTATGCAAAAATGTTACGATTTTTGTTTGAATCCTACAATTTGATTCGTACATCTTATGATTTATATGATTCATGTGATTCATTGTGATTCAAATCAATTCAATTAAGAATTAGTTCTCTACTTTGTCATTTTGTTTTGTTTATGTTTAGTTTTGTCAAGGGTGACTTGTTTTAAAGACCTTACTAGAAATTGATTTATTCACATTATTTAAGACTATATATTAAGTTTGTTTTCTGTCATGTGTTGGATAAAGAGCCATTATATGTGGGCTATTTGACTTTCAAGTCAAACTCCATTATATCATCTTAGACTTCTATTGTATTAGGTACATATATGCTAGAAATGACTTAAAAAACTCTTTTCCATATATGTTTAGTCTTTTCACATACTAAAAATAACTTCTATTGTGTTGAGTACATATATTTAATTTTTGACAAGTTTGTAAAAAATAGAAACAATCCTATGATTTACGATACGGTTACGATTTACGATATGATTTTGACAAGTATGACATGAAGGTCTTGATTTTCATAGGGGATCTCATAATTTCATCAGCAAACATAAAGATGCCAGTTTTCAGGATGTTTCACAAAATGCCATACAAGAAAACATATTTGATGATAAAGTTGACCTATGTAATATAAAACTAAAACAGAACAAACCATTACCTGCCACTCATAACGTTTTCCATTCAAATCAATCTCAAAATCTGCCATTCAAGCTCAATGTTAGCTTCTACAATGAGTAATCACAAAAAATGATATTATCAACACAGGACTGGCATGGAGACTTTAAAGCACAAAAGGGCAAAACACAGAACCCTCTTGCCCCTCGTTGCTTTAAGGCATCATGCCTCAGAGTCCATATAATACCACCATTGCTCTTATCAATACTTGCAATATTTAATGTAAAGCAGAAATAGACAGGTATATCCTACCAGTTGGATAAAAATCTATAATAGGTGACGATGGGTCTGTCATCAATTTCCTGTAAAATATAGGGAGTGCATGTGCACTACACATATACAAATTGGATCACACACAGAGTTGTTAAATAAAAATAAAAGAATAAAAAAAGATGAACCAAATTGTCAACCTTGCAGCCGGCAATACACCCATTAATTGATCAAATGGCTTAAATGGTTCCCCTAGTGTGAAGTGGATATTCAATTGATCAAGTGCGTAAAAGTCTGAAGCAAATGGAGCATAATGATAAGGATAAAACCTGCAAAATTACAAATTAAATGATTGGAATAAAATGCAATGGAATCAAGGACAAAACAAGTACAATAATAAAGCATTTGAATTCCAACCCACACTCAAAAGAAATGTATTGAATACAATGCAATCAAAATCAGGGACAATATAATTATGTACGTCAAAATGAAGAATCTAGAAAGGAATACATAATTGACATTCCCTCCACTGGTCAAGATTTGCAACACATGAAAGCCATATTTGTAAACTTTTACGATCTTTTTGATAAATATTAAAACTTTACATTTTACAGTATGATTCATTATCCCAAGGGTTCCCATTCCTAGCCATACTTTTTTTATGAAATTAACAGCAATGTCTAATAATGATCATAAAAAATGACTTGACCTGCCCTAACAGACAGCAGGCACGTTACAAAGAAACAGCACAAAACTGACCATACTTAATAAATAAATAAAAATCATAAACTTTCAGCACAACCCTGAACCTTGCATCTCCCAATGCCACCACTGCCTAGCAACACCTGCCCTGGCTAAACTTTCAGCTAGGAAATTAACGGATTTGGGAATTTGCCTGCATGAGTCGTTTAGACCAGTGTTTTAAAAGGCGTGGGAGGTGTACGCCTGGAGGCACTCCAGGCGAGGCGCTCCCAAAACGCCCTGAGGCGTATGCCAGAGGCGCTGACACCTCTGAGGCGTACGCCTCAGGTGCAAGAGGTGTACACCTCTTGTGCTTTTTCCATGAGGCATGCTAGAGGCGTATGCCTCATGCACGTCTGATATAAAAAGACAGAAAAAAAAACAAAAAAAGGAAAGGAAAAGAAAGGGAAGGGAAAGAAAAAGAGAGAGAAGAAAAAAAGAGAAAAGGAAAGAAAAGGAAAGGAAAGAGAAGGGAAGAAAAGATAAGGAGAAAGAAAGTCTCCGCTTCGACAAGACCCCCCCTTTCAACTAATGTTATGCATTTTTATTCTTCTTAATATAAAAGATTTTTATTAAAAATAAAGAAAAAATGAGATCCCCCCTTCCTCTTCATCCACCTCCTAACCCCCTCCTCTTAAGAAGGCGTAAGCCTCCTTGTGTTCGGGAGGCTTACGCCTCTTGCATTCTGAACTACGCCTCACACCTCTAGGTAGTGGAACGCCTTGCGTCACACCTCCACGTTTTAAAACATTGGTTTAGACATCTACCCTTAATGAGGTTTCCCTAACCAATGGTCTGACACTCAAAGGAGGGTCCTACGGTCCTAACCTGATTTGATCCTTTCCGTGGAAAACGATACAATTATCATGTCCACATTACAATTTGATTCATGAATATTATGGTTTATATGATTCACATTATGCAAATTCTATTCTTTTGAGAAGCAAGTAACAGAATACATCAATAACAAGAGTGTAAACAAGAGGATGTACAAGAACAAAACTTGTCATAAGACTCACACTTATTGTGAAACATCGGTTTTGGGTAAGAAACAGAGAAAGGATGACTCTAATCTCATACAAGTAATGAACAACCTGACAGAATATCCTTCTGTGACTAAGACCCAGAAGGATGGGAGGAGAAGACAGAAGGGGAAGAGGTAATTGACGGGGAGGAAAGAATTAGAAATGTACTCATCAATTTCAATAAAAATCCCTGTAGGGGTGGACAAGGAGACCAAAGCTGGGTGGGCTGAAATTTAGAAGTTTATCTCAAGCAGTGTTTTAAAAGGCGTGGGAGGCGTACGCCTGGAGGCGTGGCATCCCCAAAATGCCCTGAGGTGTATGCCAGAGGTGTTGATACCTCTAAGGTGTGTGCCTCATATGCTTTTTTAATGAGGCATACTAGAGGCGTATGCCTCATGTGCCTTATGCACATCTCATATAAAAAGACAAAAAAAGGAAAAAAATAGAAAGAAAAGGAAAAGAAGAAAAGGGAAAGAAAAAGAAAGAAAGAGAAGAAAAACGGGAAGGGAAGACAAGAAAAGAAAAGATAAGTGGAAGTTAAGTGGGACAGGGGCAAAGCCCCCTTGGCAGGGGGGCTACACCCCCCAGCCCCCCTATTCAATGCAGCCCAATTTCGACAGGACCCCCCCCCCCCTTTTCAACTAGTGCTATGCATCTTCATTCTTCTTAATATAAAAGGTTTTATTAAAAATATAGAAAAATGAAACCCTCCTTCCTTTTCTTCTGCCTCACACCTCTAGGTAGTGGAATGCCTCGTGACGACTCCACATTTTAAAACATTGATCTCAAGAAGATGTCGGTCAACTAAAGGCAGTTTTCTATGAAGAAGAAATTCTTAGTGTGACCAAAGAAAGAGGTGGTAGGTTTAAAAGATTAAATTTCATCTTTTCTATGGAGATGGATTTCTATTGAAAGTTTTCCATGATTTCCACTTTCTTAACTCTGATTCCTAAGAAGAAAGACATGGTAGGTTTAAAAGACTTCAGACCAACAAGTCCAATCGGCAGTGTGAATAAAGTTAATGCAAATGTATTGCCAAAGAGGATGAAAAGAGTGATGGTGAAGGCAGACACAGATCATTGGTGGATAGACCTGGCAATTGGGTTGGGTAGGTCGGGTTTGGGTTGGGTCAAGACACTTTGGGTTGAATTTCAGGTTGGGTTGTCAAATGCTAGACCCTAACCCTAAATGTTCGGGTTAGGGTTAACCCATGGGTCAATTCAGGTCATCCCAAAAATAACTGAAATTTTAAAAAATAAAGAGAACATACATGAAAAATGCCAAAATTAAAGAAATTAACCTTAAAATTCGAAAAATAAAATAAAAAAAAACTTGAACATTTAACAATTCAAGGAGTAAACAATAAAGAGTAAAGACTAGATAGTAAAAATTAAAGTGGAAACTTCTAACAATTCATAAATAGTCCCAATTAGACCTGACAATCGGGTCAGCGGGTTGACCCAACCCAACCTAGTTTTTTCCGGGTTGGGTCTAGTCGGGTTATTCTCAAATTCGGGTAGCGAAATATGAGACCCTAACCCTGTTTTTTCAGGTTGGGTTGGGTCGGGTTCGCAGGTTGGGTCAACTTTTTGCCAGGTCTGTTGATGGCATTTCAATAGCAAATAAGTTAATTGATTCAAGGCAAAGAAGTGGGGAAGAGAAAACTTTTGACCATGGAAACTGGGATTTCCTAGACTACATGCTCATTAGGTTTAACTTTGGTAGGAAGTAGAGGTACTGGATGAACATCTGCAATACCACAGCAAGCTTCTCAGTCTTGATTAATGGCAGATCAGCAGGAAAGTTTCACAGTTCCAGGGGCCCTCAGCACAATGGTGTCTTGAGTGGTTGAGGGAGGTGCCCTAGAGGGTTCCAAGGAGGGAGATGGTGTGGAAATAGCTCTACTACCATATGTGGATGAAACAATCTTCTTTGCTAATGCTTCCCATAAACATATGGAGATAATTAGAATAATTTTTACTTGGTTTGAACCCGTCTCCAGCCTAAAAGTTAACCTACATAAAAGCAAAATAATGATGATGGATGATGGATCCAACATAGGAACTGGCAAAAGTATTAAAGTAGTAGGATGCAAAGTTAGGAAATTGTTGGCTAAATATTTAGGGATGCCACTTAGAGATAGATGTACTTCCAAAACGATTTGGGAGCCAGTGGTGGAAAGAATTGAGAGGAAGTTAGCTTCTTGGAAGCTAAGATATTTGCCAAAGGGTGGAAAATTAACTTTGATCAAAAGAATGTTTTATTTTATTCCTATGTTTGTGCAATGTGGAGAAGCATTCAGAAATCAGAAAGATATTTCAAGAAAGAAACTAAACCAGTTGTAGGAGATGGGACAAGAATCAGGTTCTGGCAAGATACATTTTGTGGCAATAGTCACCTCTCAAAGACAAATTTGCTCAGTTTCGAAGCTTTCCTCCCAGGAACAAGAGGTAGGAGAATGGTGCTCCACTTTCACAAGGAATTTAAATGACTGGGAAATAGAACAATGGGTAGAATTGATGCAAATCTTGAGCTTATTCAAGGTGGACAGATCAAGTGACAAATGGGTTTGGGCATGGGAGAAGTCTGGCTCCTTCACAGTGAAGTCTTTTTACAATAGACTGTTTTGAAGAGGGAGAGTTTTCAGTGAACAGGGTTTGGAATTTGGAAGCTCCTCCCAAAGCCCCCTTCTTTACATGGATAGCATCATGGGGAAGTGCTTAACAACTGAAACTCTGGGGAAGAGAGGAATGATGGTGGAGCCTAGTAGATGTGCAATCATAGTGTTCAAGGCACCAAGGTGAGGCTAGGTGACGGGGGTGCCTTGTCACCTAGTTGCCTAGGCAATGGATTATTTTAAGTAAAAAATATAGATCCTAGGGTACTTCCCTAGGTACCATAACCGTATTTCCTTAATAATTATTCATAATTGCCATAAGAATAGTATAGAGTTCATTCGTGCTACAGTATAGAAAATCAACATATTCTGAAAGAAAATTCAAATATATATAGGGGCTGAACCCTTATTGGTTCAGGTTTTGAAGTCTTTGAGGGTTCAATACAGCATTTAGCAATGTTTGTGTTGATTAGACCCTAACAAATAAGAAAATAATAAAGACATTAGTATATACAAACACAAAATGAATATTTTAGTTTAATAATCTCTATTTTATAATTATAATCTCAAGAAATAAAGAAAAAAAAAGTATTTTATAATAGAAAGTGCAAAACTGCTTGGTGATTAGGCAAGGCAAGACTCCAAGGGCGCCTTGCCACCTAGCATCACCTTGACAACTGTGTAATGTGTTGTGAAGATTCAGAAGGAGTGGAACATATATTCATACATTGCAAAAATGCAAGCGAGTTGTGGCTGAAGTCATTGGGGTTGTTTGGGGTGCAGTTCTGCTTCCCAAAAGAGCTGATGGAGTAACTATGGTGCTGGTATCTAGCCGGTCTGTCAATCTGGACGGGGAGTTATTCCACCAGCTGTGCTGTGATCAATCTGGACGGAGAGAAACAAGATAACTTGTGAAGACGTACAACACAGTAGACTCCTGTTGATTATTCAAGTGGGGTGATTTGTAAAATAGACTTGGATAGGGGTGTTAATGGACCGGTTTTGGGTTTCACACCGTCAAAATCAAAATCAATTTGGACAGATTGGACAAACCAATAACACATATTGAATTGGACAGACCAGACTTAATGGTCCAAGTATTTACTGCATTGGATTGGACCTGGTCAATCCATAATGGATTTATATTGGATTGGATCAGGTTGAACCAATATTCAGTCCATTGATAAAAGATAAGAATGCAGGTGTCAATGGACCAGGTTTCACTTGCAACCAATCTAAATTAAAACCAGTTTGAACAGATTGGGCGGTCCCAAGATTGAATTGGACTGGTCCAAAATGGTCCAGAGCATTCATCGTATTGGATTGGAACTAGTCCATCTGTAATGGACTCATATTGGACCAGATTGGATTGGACCAAATTCGGTCCAATTGACACCCCTAGACTTGGAGAAAGCTTATGACTGGGTTAGCTGGAATTGTCTTTGGAAGTTTATGGAGCTTAAGAGGTTTGGGGAAACATGGATTAGTTGGATGAAAGGTTGTATTTGTTCAGGCTCGTTCTCTATCCATATAAATGGGACCCCTGTTGATTATTTCAAGGCTTCTAGAGAATTGAGGCTTGGATGTCCACTATCCCCCCTGTTATTTACCCTGATAGCAGAAATTCTGGATGCCTTATTGAAAAAGCAGGTGATCTGGAGCTCTAAAAAAGGCTTCTCAGTGGGACATGAGAAAATTTAGATCTCTCACCTCCAATATGCAGATGATACTATCTTCTCCATTGAAGCAAAGGATTATTTGTCCAACCACAAGAGAATTTTGAGATGTGTGAGTTTTTTGAGACATAATTAGTAACCATTGAAAATTGATGGAGAAAAACTAAAATGTGTATATATAATTATATATATATATATCTTAATTTGTAGAAAATAAATATACTTTGTGTTAATATATATTAATTTATAAATGTTAATAAGCAATATTAGCATTTATTGACAGTCATCCATTAAGAGGAGAAAAGTTACTTAAGAATCAAAATGTGTATTATTATGATAAGCAATTAGGATATGGAGTTGTGGTCAAATTGTGATCATTATAAGTTAACAACTAGGGTTCGAATCATATTATCCTCTTATTTGTGATTTTAAATGGGCTACTTTAGTGGCATGCCAAATTCAAATCCAAATTTGAATATTGTCTTAAATGTAGCCTTAAATGTTGCATTTCATTCAAATTTCAAAATTGAGTGTTGCCTTTAATAGCATTTAAGACTTGATTAAAAGTGATTTTGTAAGACAATTAAGAGTGGTTTAATTGAGAGAGAGGGAGGGAAATAAAATTTGAATTTTAGAGCCAATACAGTCTGATACGAACGAAAAGGAATGAAATTGGCCATTTCTACACGTTTATACATCGTGAAATTCTAAACCTTGCATTTTTTGTATAATAAGGACATAATAGTCCTTTTATCTTTTAATATAAAAATCAACCTAACTCTAACAATAGCAGCCCATCTAAATGACAATGTTTTAAAACACGGAGGCATGACACGAGGCATTCCACTACCTAGAGGCATGGGGCGTAGTTCAGAACGCAAGAGGCGTAAGCTTCCTGAACACAAGGAGGTGTAAGCCTCCTTAAGAGGAGGAGGGTTAGGAGGAGGAAAGGGAGGAGGATGAAGAGGAAGGGGGGATCTCATTTTTTCTTTATTTTTAATAAAAAACTTTTATATTAAGAAGAATAAAGATGCATAGCATTAGTTGAAAGGGGGGTCTTGTCGACCGATATATTGTATTTCTTTAATTCATGTGAAAGTTCATGTTGGTGGGTCTCAACACCAACATATGTCGAGCGACATTTCCAAAATTTTGCAACATTTTAAACCTTGGCTCCTTCCACACCACTTGCTTTCCTTTCAAACTTGCCTCCCACACAAAGTTCTCCAGCTACTTGATCACCTCTAAACCGACAAACAGAAATGTTACCTTCTTTGCTTCTCAAATCTTCAAGCTTGGATGCCTCTCAATTTTCAACTCCTTGAACAGAAACAGTATTGCCCTTGCCTTGAACTTCCTCAATAAAGTCTTCCTCCATCTCTTTCATATAATACTAGTACACTAGACATATACAACTGCATCCAAGCTTGTCAATGAACAAGTTCTCATATATTTTTCTTTTTACTATTCATCACTATTTTATTTCATTTCACTGATAAGTTTTATTTTATTTTATTTTATCTTAGCATTAGCCACCATTCAGTCTATGTTCCCCTCCCTCAATACCTGCTTATTTCCACAGCTGTAACTAGAGTTACTAGACTGGTAAACCATAATCCCTACTTTCCTAAATGAATCATCATATTTCTCATAACAAGAATATAAGGAAACCCACATTAAACATCCATTACGATAACTATGACAAAGCAAAATCAAAACTTGCAAGAGGAGAAATCTGTGGCATATGAAAAATAAACATTAAAAATAAAGAAAAAAATTATTCTCACACCATTGCCAAGAGCATATTCCCTCATAGTAATAGTGCATGACCCAGCAAATCCCTTCAATATACTTGAAGACCTGACAATATAATTTAAAAATTGTAAGCTTTACTATTGATTATTAAAAAATTGAAAACATGGCAAACCCATATTTAAGGAAAGAATTCATAAAAACAACAGAATAAAAAGAAAAAATTCAAATTGATAATTATTACCGTGTCACTTCGAATTTGCACATAGTCATCTTTAGTCTTTGCTTCAAATTTCTCGGCATAGTACCTTTCTTTGCAACCTACTTCTTCTAAGTTAACCTCTTCTAAGTTAATCTGTTGAAGCTAGGGTTGAGTCCCGCATAGGATTGCAAATAGTGATCTACATGCTTTTAAAGTAGATAAAACATAAATCTGAAATTTGAGACCTCAATTAATGTATTTGCAGCATCCGATGCATTGTTGTTGGTGATCTGGATCTCTTTTGAAACAGGCTGTAGCTTCATTTGAACATTTTTTTGGAGAGGTGCATCAATAGAACATTATCAGTACAAGTATTTTCAGTGCTTGATAGATTTCTATAAAATGAATATGCTACCAATTACAACAAAAAAAATATGCCACCAATTATATTAATACATGGGTATGTAATGGCTCATTTTATGAGACTCAAAAAGTTTAAGCCACACCTTAGGCAATAACCAGGAATACTGAGAAGACACTTTTTGCTTAAATTTAAGCCATTTATCAGGCTTACGACGTTGTTTCCTCTTTGACTTTGCCAACTCCAGAAAGCGGGCCATCTGAGCTTTCTGCACCAGAACAACATTGAGATTGTTGCAGTGGTATATTAGTAGCAAGCCAGATAAAATATAGCATCTGCTGAACAAAATTCAAAATTTCAATACATATCAGGCTGTAGCGGCCGATATGTATCATATCAGCAGCTTCCGGATACATCCCTACAGGGGGTGTTTTGGGGTCTGACCTGGTTCAGGGGCTAGAAGGGCCTTAAATCAACCCCTCTGAACCAGTTGGAGAAGATACAGGCCGATATGCCCCTACCGATATTTTGAACCTTGCTTCTGAAGCATTATTTACTAACCTACTTAATAAAGTCACACTCACTGAAAGGAAAATGGTTGGAGAACAAACACAGATATTCTGGAAGGGCACTAAGACATTTCTATTTTCATAAGCACAGTCTTGAAAGACTAGGATACCCCAATGAGTTGAATGAGAACCATAAAGTTAGAAATTAGAACCTTGATACGTTTGCTGAAAATGGCACTCTCATGGGATCCAACAGCTTGTATGAAGTGTTCCACACGTTTCAAATTTACCTACAGTAAAGAACAAGAAACAAACCACGTCAGAAAATGATAAACAGAAAACTTAAAACCAATGTTACCAGGACAAGGAAAGGATGTGGCCAGAAACTGTGTGTAGGATATAAAATTTACACTAAAAATTCAAGTATCCAACATAATATGGCACCCTTTTACAGGTACCCAGGCATCCTAGATTATAACACCAAATAAAATCCAATACAAAATAAAGAATAAAATGGAATATTCGATATTATATATAATAAACACAAAAAGTAAAGTATACATACACATCTGAATACCACCATAACATATTGAATTTTTCTTCCTCCATGGATCAACTTGTGGTACTAAATTACTAATAAACAATTTTTTTAGCAAATGGCTTAACATTTTACTGGTTATACATTAAACCTTAAAAGGAGAGCATCAAATGGAGAAAATTAGGAAGATATTAACAGAGAAGTGTATTTTTAATCATTGAACAGAATAACAACAAAATTAGGCATTGCAACTTAGCACCATAAACATCTAACACAATGAACCACTAAATGGCCAGAGGCCACATTATTACATACCTCAAAAGAATTTGTTAGGTAGCCTCCCATTCGTTCAAATTCTTCTTTATAAACAGCCATAAGTAGTTCTATTGCCCCCTATCACGAAGATAGTAACTATAAAGACATTTTTCGCAAGAAACACAGCTATACCACATACAAGGACCACTTTCAATGAATTGGAAAAATAGGCATATAAAAGTAAGAATGGTGTAAACCAATCTATCCGTCTCAGAGGTACACAGTTTCCTAGCATAGGTGAAAATCATTCAGATGACCAACTTAATCAGTAAAGCATAAGCATCTTAATTGCACAGACCTTAGAGATTTCTAAGCCTGGAAGTTGTGGTAAAAAATCGTTTCCAACAAATAAAGAGATCAAAACAAAATCATCAATCAAACGTTCCAAGTCAGCCTGAATGGTTCCATTTGGTATTCTCATTTCACTCGCTATACAGCTCTTAAGAACCCAAATGTTGAGGAACTGTAATAAAAAAAAAAAATAAAGAGAATTAAAATGTGAGCAGACATTAGAAAATGTGTAAACTCAACTAAGACAATGGAAAGAGCCCACAAAAAAATATATTCATAATCAATGTCTTCCATAAAATATAGAAAGTAAACACAATGTATCGATGTGCATCTATCAATACAATGTGATATAGACTGATATACACCTGTATCGATTTGATACATACAACTCACGGAATATGCTTCTATTCACAAAGTATCCTACGCCACCATTGACCAATACCAATACAATATCCCTCGTATCGGACATATCATATCAATATTTAAAACCTTGTTGGCAACCACATGCAGATATGAATAACTTTTTTTTGTAAAAGGTAATGAAACTTTATTCAAATCAAAACTCAAATACAGACTGAAATCAGACCCAAGAAGGCAGTCTGAAAGCAGCCGGGGTTACAACCTCCACCAGGAACAAGACTGAAACAAATAAGACAAGCTTAGTTTTCTGAACTTCACAGAAGTGGAAATCCAATAAATCAGCTTACCCACATGCAGATATGAATAACAACACCAATGAGCTGAACCTTCACAGGTTAGAAGTAGGAGAACTCACTCACCAAATCATGGTGGCATTAAGCAAGAGTCCACCTTTGAAGGCCTATAAAAGGCAATTAATGAATTGCAATAAAGAGGGCAATGGAGGAGTGGGAGAAGAAGAAAGAAAGGGAAGCACCGAAGGAGGAATACTGTTATTGATTAAGAGAAGATGATTTTCAGGTATGGGGCAAGGACTAAGAGGATTACCACTAATGCTGACTGATAGTGACCGACAGCCAGTTCATTTATAGATGTTACTTGAACTTTTTCAACTGTGTTTTAATATTTGTCTCCTATCTTCCATGTAATTGCTATTAGATTTACAGTTAAGTGGTACACATGAATATGGTTGAGATTTAATTGTGTGATAGGTGATATGTAGGGCACATGTGGCAAACTTGTCATTTGGATATTGTCAATAGTCAGAAGTGGGAATGTCATTTGACATTTTTTTTCAATATCAATATCATATTTCTTATTAATTGTTTGGCCAATTGGCACCAAAAATCAATGCCACATGGCATCATAGACAATTGCAACATGGCATTTGATACATCAATATATTCAGTGACACATGTGTGTAGGAAGACCAATTGCGTATGCAACAGTCAATAATTCTTAACATAGATTTTGGCATGTGAAATATAGGGTATTACACGTGTATAACATGTTTTTTTGATAAATTACGTGTGTATAACATGTTGCATCCAAATGCTACATTTTACTTTTACTTTGAAAAGCATGTTTTGAATGCCTGCTTTGCCAAATGTGTTTCACAGAAGAAAACAGATAATAAAACGATAGAAACCTGTTTTGCGCTTTCAAAAGCACAAAGTAAAAGTCTACCCCAGCACCAAGACCAACAACACCTTAGTTTCCCTCTCTCTAGAAAACAAGATATTTGTTTTTCTCAGCTCTTATGTTAAAAAGACTTTTTAATAGAAAAATGGTGATGTATACCTCAACCATTAACATTAATTGTCTACAATGTATTACTTCTGTTGTCAATGTGTATATTTATGCATAATTCAATCTATTGTTCATGAATATGATTTTACCTTCATATAAAGTACAAATTATTACAAAGATTAAAAAGAAGAAAGAAATAAAGAAAAAGCACCAACCAAGAATTGCAGTTTCACGATATCAACATTTTAGTTTAACACTTATGGCAAAGGAAAAGGAAAATTTAAAAATAGAAAAAGAAGAAGCACCAACCTCAAACCTTGAAGTTTTATTCTTGTCCTGCACTCTGCCTCTTTTTCGTATTTTCTTTCTCCTATCTGTCACACTTTTATTACCTTTCACGTGAGGCTTGCGTACAACCTGCACAATAATTGAAATAAGCTACCTAGTTCTTCCACTTGTTTCTAATAATTGAAGATAAACTAATAGAATTCAAAAAGGAGACTGTTCTAAAATCTCCACACGAGCAAACCTCTCTGAGAATTGAAAAGTGTACTTCATGAGTAGCCAGTGCAAGCATGATTAAGTCAGCATCCTAAAACAATGAGTGCAAATGCATAATCGCATATTATTAGACAAAGAGAACTAGGCAATAAAATTGTTTATAAAACTATACACCACAAGGGGAAAGATACTTACCAAACCATACAAACAATGTCTTGTGTTTGGGTTAAACCCCGGAAGGTTTCTTTGCAAACGTATGTAAGACATAATCTTGTGCTCTCCCTCCCCAGGCACACTTGCATCAGACAGAATGACCTTAAAAATCCAATTGCATTCTCATTCAAACCAAAAGGTACTCACAATCCTTGACAATACACACATAAACAGGCAGAAAGTAGGGGGGAAGAAGAAGTAGCAATTAGCAAGAGATAGTTGCACCAGGGATCTTCAGGTTTACCTTGATACTACGCCATCCAGGATCCGAGTTCATTCTCAAATGTATGTAGTATCGAAGAGCTGAAGAAAGTGAAGCCATGAATTCAGTTCCAGGTGTGATTACATTTGAATCCATTTTGTTGTTTTCCTCCAGACCAGATGAAGTTCCCAAATCTGATCCAACATCTTTCAGCTCATCCATCCTGGCAGCCTAATATTAACCATTGCGGGTTTGAAAATGTGCTTGGTAGAGAGAGTCAAACAGTGCTGGTAGCATTACTAGAAAAATAAGCAAATTAAAACTAATTATGATAGCACTACTATTTTTCTATTACCAAACTAATATGGAAGCCAGTAAACTCACTTTCTCTGCCGCATCTTTAGCAGCTCTGAATCTCCTCGAACGCTGATGATTCATCTTTGCTCGCGGTGCAACGCCATCTGTACGTGGTCAGTACGAACAATATCAAAATACATAATCTCATAATGGTTTTAGAAATCCTTATCGCACTCACCAATTGCAAGGTAGAGAAGTTTCCGTGGTCGAATTAATGAGAAAATGCGATCAATATACTTAAAAATAGCCTTAAAAACCTCTTCATACGTTTTGGGAGAAGGCTGGATACAAATTACACGAAAAAATAAAATCAATTCTCATATGCAAAAACAATACAGTAAATAAAAATGAAATTATTCAGGAGGTACCTGATCTTCTGGGTGGAAACAAGGATGAATAACTCCATTCATATCAATATACAGATTGTCAAACTCAATGCCATTCGGATTCGGTATGCTAGTATCGACAGGAATTGTAACTCCATCAATGGTGACAGGGAATTCTTCACGCACTTTTTGTTTAACATCTGAGTATTTTCGGACCAGCCATCCATAGAAACCAGGAATCCCCATTTTAGCTGTGCATGTACTTCAGGGTTCAGAGCTTGGAAGACATGGAATAGTATGAGATCTCAGTGGTGCTTGTGATCGACCTTCGAGCTCCGTGGGACTTGTGGTTTAGAGTTTTGGAGTGGAAGCTTGGGCTCGTGGTGCAGGGTATCAGCAACGGATGGACCGGCAAGGCAGCAGGCATTTAGGGTTTACGGATGTAGTTTAAATATGACGCGCCTTTAGATAGTTTATTGGCAACGTTATCGCGTCGGGTCGAGAGTGCGATTAGAGACCCGAATTTCAGAATCGTCCCTTCCTACGGTGATGACCCATACGAGATAACGAGAAATCCTGAGTTTGATCTCCTCCCGACAAAAGTTCCCAACCAGTCCGGATCTACAAAGCCAACAATTGCTGATTACATTCATCCAGCCGCGCATCGAAAATATCGATGATGTGCACGGTCTTTGGTTCCGTCGGCGTTTATTCAATAAACGCTGCTGCCATATAAGTGCCACTTCAACGGTTTTCCTCTATTGTTCTTTTTCAAGAATGATAGACGTGGGAAGTTATTTTTTAAAGCATCCACAAATGATAACACACGTTGTAATTATTGTCTTTTTCAATTTTGCAAACAAATAAATTATAAACATTGAATGAAAAAACGTAAACGAAATCAAACACATATTTAGTATATGTTTAGTATCAATGTTGTATAGTGCTGCATATGTGTGGGTTGGAAGCAGAAAATGGTGTTTTTTTGTTTGAAAATATTGTTGCCATGTAGGATATTTCATAGGGCAACAGCAACACATTCTATTTGGTACCGCTGCTCCAAATCTGTTTTCAGTACTGTACCCATTATAGTAAACCCACCTCATTGCCACATCATGTACTTGATTGCAACAACGAGCTCCAAATTGAGAAAATGTCAAATTCGGCATTTCCCTAAATCACGCCTTTTCATTTTCCAAGGCATGGTTTGGAGTACCATTTCTTTTATGGAAAAAATGGTTCCAAACATGTTACCATTTTCTGGAGCACCGATTTTTTCCAACATGGCACTGATGTGTCACCATTTTTTTGGAGCAACGGCATCGATGCCAAACACCGATGTAAAGTACAATTGATGTTATATATGCTATGTACAGTAGGGTGAATATGCCTAGCAAAGTGTTCTGGTCAATAGATCCAAACCCATTCCCAGTAGCTCGGGAACATCTCCCGTGTCTCTCATGGCGAGATGTTCCTGATGCACAGTACAATGATTGCTACGACTTTGTAATGGAGGAGATCGGCTTCAGTCAGGGCAAGCCCGTGCTTACACCATCCCAATAGCCTCTTTCAACCTTGCATCAGGAATATCTCACCATGAAATAAAGCACATGAGTGTGGAGATATTCCCAATACAAGGATGTAAATGTTGCTCGAACGGGCGTTGCCCTAATGGAAGTTGAACTCATATTGGAGGTCGGCTTTAGGCAATGCAAGACCCGTTCTAACACTATTCCAACAACCTTTACAGCCTTGTGTTGGAAATATCTTCATACTTTTGTGTTTTATTTCATGTTGAGATATTCCCAGTGCAGCTATAAAGGTTGTTTGAACAAGTCTTGCACTGACTGAATCAATTTTCTTTGTATTGGGACAAGATTCGAACTTCTTAAAAAGAATTTGGATTTTCTAGACTCGGTTTTGTGTGTATGATGAGGTGCACTAGTGGCATGTCATACTTCATATGATACCTCATTCACATGTGTGAATCATTTCATGGACCAATATACCCCATTAATTTTTCAATGGCATGTTTTTCAAACTAAAAAAAGTAAATACGAAAACAAATTGCCCCGTTCAAAAGACAACAAAGGGTAGGGTAGGAACTCACAAAACCCTAACTTGGGGAGGTTGCCATTAACGTCTAATAAAGGACTACAAAGAAAATAAAGGGTATAACCGTATAAAATTTTGAAAAGAAATGTCGTTAGCAAAGAATCCATTTATTCTCTGATCTTTAATAAAAGGTGGGGATCCATGAGCTAGACATCACATTGGATTGCTTTGCATGCTTTTGAATTTTTGTTCTTAACAAGGCCCATATGTGCAGCCTAGGATGCTACCACCATGTGTCCCAGGTTGACTAAGAAGCTCCCCAGTGATCCAAACCAGCCCTAACCACCGAACTAACAAGTTTAACCTGTCCACCTATAAGGTAGTCAAATAAGGACATGTAACTAAGAATCCTGGGTTGGCCCAAACAACCATCATGCAAACATAACTAAGACTCTTTGGCAATCACATCATCTTCTCTATATATAGGTATGGCATCCTCAAAAAAAAGAATACAAATAATATTGCACCCTCTAGCCTCATTGCTTTCTTACCTTCCTCGCTAACCAACCTCCCCCTGCTCGGTTTGACAATTTTTTACTCACATAGTGACTTAAGCATCAGAAAGTTCTCCCCTAGCGACACATATTAGCATTGTTTGTGACAATTGACAAACGAGCAAAGAAGTCATATCATCATGCATTTGAAAACATGCACTAATACCCACAAGGACTCCCAAAATCAGTATCTCTCTCAACAAATCTCCACAAGCAACATAACAACCAATTTCCACCAACGAATCCTTAATAACTGGCATAGGAAACCTAACTCATTGTTCAACAACAATTCCAAATCCTCTAATGTTGATTCAATGACCTCCTCACTCTCCTGACCTACAACCGTAGAGCGCCTTAGCAACAAGGTCGGGGCCCAACCACTCATCCCAACAATTGAGCAAAACAACAACGCCAGAATGACCATCACCATCCTCAGCCCTTGAGTGAGTGGGTCCATTGTCTAGATCTCAATATGATCAGCAATAGTACCAACAATCCCTACATGATGCTCAAAACCCACCATTGGAGGGGTTATCCGACATGAACCCTCCTATGATGGTAAACAAGACCATGACTAACTCAGTTACAAATGGGCATAGCTAGTCACCAAAACCAGAACGGAAGCCAAACCCCAAGGAGGAGCTTAAAGATATGCAAGCTCAACTCTCAATGGTCGAGGGAAAGAAGTTGCAATTTAAATGTGGATGGTAACTATCCATATACCTACCTTTCATAGTGGACATCCGAACGAGCCACTTATAGCAAATTTCAAGATGCTGAGCATAAAAGCCTATGATGGCACTAAGGACCTCATGAGTACACCAATATGATCATCTATTATGCCTTCTATACCACATTTTTTGGGTGCAGCTCAATAGTGGTTTTTTGGCTTGTTACCAGAACTGAACAAGTTGTGTGAGCAATTCAACACATGTTCATGAGTCATTTCACCAATAATGTCGAATACCAATAGACATCGGCATCCCAAATGGTGATCTAGCAAAAGGATTAATCGCTCCAAGCCTATGTAAAGAGAATCGACAAGGCATTGGGAGTAAGGGATCCTAACTCATCCCTTGTGATTGCCGCACTCATGTATGGTGTTAAACACAAGGAATTCAGCTTTTACTTAGTGAAGAAGCCACTACATTGTACAACCAACCTCCTACTCTGAGTAGAAAAATGCATCAATGCCTAAAATGCCAAGCACACCATAGAGTCTTAGAAAAAAGACAGGTCAGATGTCTCAGTCTGGAGGAAGAGATAAAGAGATTGGGACAATCATAGAAACCAAGATAGCTGTAAAAAGGAAGTCATCCTGATCCAATGACCTCAATCGAGTGCCAAAGTCACAAAGTTATGATCGATATATACCTTGAACGTGTCTTGAGCTCAAATTCTATACAATGACCCCAAACATTCCTTCTCTAGGGCCACGTACAATTTGAAATCTTAATTACACTAGATGTATTTTTTTTCATATAGGTTGAAAAAGCAAAAGGAAAACTCCTAAAGTCTAACAAAGAGTTGCAAAAAGTTATAGGAAGACATGCAACAACTCAATACAATAAATAGTACTTGTTGAGTGAAAGATTTTGGGGGGNGGGGGGGACTTAGGCAACTAAAATGAGAATAAAAAAATACTTGGTTACAAATACTATTGGGCTAATGTCTAGTTGTTACATTTTTATTAATCTAATACTATAAATAGTTAGAAAATGTCCAAGTTAGATTTCTTTTAATTCACTACTTACTAGTTGATGAGATATTACTTGCTTTGTGTTTGTCTTAGAGGCATTTACATATTGTATATTTGATTTGTCATAATTCTTTTTTTTTGTTATAAGTTTTAATTTAATTTAATTACTATTAGATTCTAAATTTGCACATAAAATACTCTTATTATATTTTTTAATTAATTTGTTTTAGGTTTATATATTTTAATTCATTATAAAATGCCAAAAAATAATAGTAATTTTTTGTATAAAGCAAGTTTTGGGGGTGTAAAAAAAGGATGAATGCACATCTTGCAGGGACTCGTGAAAATATAGCCCCATATAGAAAAGCTCATCCTAAGTTGTTGAAGAAATTAGAGAATTTTTGAAGAAATTCAGAAAGCACAAAAAAAGTTGAGGAAATGGAAAAAGTTCATCAAGTATGTGCTATTTTAAGAGAATCTATTGGTGAGATACCTACAATATTTAATTATAAAATGGCATCAAGAAATACATCCAGTGGAGGTGTACATCAAGAGAAGTATAGAGCCTTATGGACCAGTTTGTAGCTCATGGTCAAAATGCTAGTAGACAGTTTGAGAAACAAACTACATTTAATGTACATTGGAAAAATGAAGAAAGAAATATAGTTCATCGAGAAATTAAAACAATGATATATGAGAATGGATTGCCATTTAATTTGTGTAAATAAAGCACGCCACCGTCTAGAAAGCTCTGATTCATCCTAGTGGCCAGTAACTATTTTACCAAGTGGGTAGATGCAATACCATTGAAAAGGGCAGTGGTTGTGAATGTGTCTAACTTCTCATGCAAGCCCTTGTAAAGCCCTATAGCCAAAGCTTTGGAAGACTAAAGTTCCACCTAAAATGAAATTCTTCCTTTGGCGGATTAATGTCAATGACATTGCAATAAAAAACAATTTGACTTTGAGAGGTATTCAAACCAATAATTGTTGTCCCATGTGTGACAAAGCTGATGAACATGTTGATTGATAACTTGTTTATATCCTATTGTTTTGCTTGTGTGGTGTGGATGGCATCTGCTTTAGCATTTGGTCGGGGTATATTTCAATCCCTGGTAAATTGGGTGCCATCTTGGTTTGAAAATGGCAGTCACATTGATTAGGAGGTGGGTTATTGAATCTCTTTAATGGCTATTACTCTTTGGAGCATCTGGAAAATTTGTAATTATAGGCTATTCAATAATGTCTCTCAAAGATCCTTTGAAGTATTACATAGGAGCTACTACCTATTTGGTGATGTTTGGATGGCTACGAGCTGCCCCTATCCAAAGATTACAAACCCCCTCCTGTTATTAGTGATAGGAAGGGGCCTTTTCTTTCTTTTTGTGATGTTGGTTTTAACCCTTCCAACTATATATTTAG